GGCGGACACAACATCTTTGTTTGTATGTGGTGCTGGAGGATCGAACCCGGGCTGCACGCATGCCAGGCGAGCGCGCTACCGCTTGAGCCTCATCCCCAGCCCCCAGAAAGTTTCTTTATACTGCTTGACTCCCCTAACTCAGATAATGCTGAACTGACTGGATAGATGAGAGCTCTTCTAATTTTTCCCACCGATCCTCCACTTCTTGTCACTAGAAAAGTGGGGAAGAAGGAGGAAAACAAGTGAAGACAGGGTTTAGAAGAGGCATGGTTAACAAGACAGAGGGAAGGGCTTGTCACATAGACAATATATCATAGGCAACTTTTCCACTGTTGTTAGAAAAGGGAGCAGAGGGCTGAAATTTTTAAAGCTGGGAGATTAGTATGAAAAAGGAGATAGCAGTTGAAAAAGACAGTGCCTGGTATATTTGGGGAACCTGGGTCCTGAGGAAGAGCAGTATAACCAGACTGGGCAGTTGGGGGAGCTAGAGAGAAAAGCTGCAGCAGAAGACTGTAAACTGTTATCCTCTGAGCTAAGCAACCATTGCTTTCTCCCAGCTCTCCTGAGCTTCAGTGGGCTGGGGTGGTGGAGCTCAAATGTCCTACTTTTTTTTTTTTTTTTTTTTTTTTTTAACAGAACACCAAGGAATAATGACATACAGCTGAAAATACTGTAATTGAATATATTATTTATGTTAAATCAGAGATAACATATGCCATATTTGGTGCTAGGGATTAAACCCAGAGACTTGTGCATACAAGGCAAGCACTCTACCACTTAGTTACATCCCCCCGGCCCCCCTGGCCTCACAGTCTACATTCTGGAAGAGCTAGACACAGGTGTGAGAAGAAAAAAAWTTTTTTTGGGCTGGGGATGTGGCTCAATGAATTTATTCATTCTGTAGAAAATGCTTTGTGTAGGTAGAACTTTGTAGACACTCTCTGTTCTTCCATCTTTACTTCCCCCCTCACAATCTCTGGCCCACGGATCAGAAAGCACTACTATAAGAATGAAGATGTAGCCTGGTATGGTGGAGCACACTCGTAATAACAGTGGCTCAGGAGGCTGGGACAGGAGGATCGCAAGTTCAAAGCCAGCCTCAGCAACAGCGAGGCACTAAGCAACTCAGTGAGACTCTGTCTTTAAATAAAATACAAAATAGGGCTGAAGTGGGGCTGGGGATATAGCTCAGTTGCTAGAGTGCTTGCCTTGATGCCCAAGGTCCAGGATTCAATTCCCAGCACTACGAGGGTGAGGGTGGGGGTGGGTGGGGGGACAACAAAATATGGTTGGGGATGTGGCTCAGTGGTTCAGTGCAACTGAATTTGATCCCTGGTACCCCTATCCCCCCACCTCAAATAATCAAGATGTAAGGAAAATAAGTGTCCTTAAAAATATGCTGGAGGGAAGGTAGAATTTTGGCCTGAGTTTGAAGAGTGAGTAAGAGAGAAGGAGGAAAAGGGTGTGGAAGGACCAGAAAAGGCAAACATTTGAGAACACTGACAATTGAGAAAATTCTCTCTGCTAAGTTAATGTTATGAATTGGAAGTGACTACCATTGTTTTAATAGTGGCACTGTTGAGCTCACAGAAAAACCAGACAGTCCTTTAGCACTGCTGAGGCAATGGGGAACCACCGAAATTTTCTAGGCAGGTGAGAAGTTGTTGGATTTGGAAATTTTACTTTTTTTGGAAATAGTCTCAGTTTTTTCTTTTCTTTATTTTGATACCGGGGATTGAACTCTGGGGTGCTTAATCCCTGAGCCACATCCCCAGTCCTTCTTATTTTTTATCTTTTTAAAATATTTTGTTTTAGTTGTAGTTGTACACAATACCTTTATTTTTTATTTTTATGTGGTGCCAAGGATAGAACCCAGCGCCCGGCATGAGCTAGGCAAGCGCTCTACTGCTGAGCCACAAGCTTAGCCTCTTATTTTTTTAAATCTTGAGACAGGGTCTTGCTAAATTGCTGAGGCTGGTTTCGAATTTGTGATCTTCCTGCCTCAGCCTAAGTGGCTGGGATTACAGGTGTAAGCCACTCAGCCCAGCAGTCTCATAACTTTTCATAAATAATATGTGCTGCTGGGTGCGGTGGAGCATGCCTATAATCCCAGCACTGGAGAGGCTCAGGAGGATTGCAAGTTCAAAGCCAGTCTCAGCAACTTAAGAGACCCTGTTTCAAAATAAAAAATAAAAGGGTTGGGCGGTTAAGTGTTCCTAGGTTCAATCCCCAGTACCAAAAAAAAAAAAAAAAAAGAGGGAGAATAGTCTGGGGGTGTAGTTCAGTGGTAAAACACCCCTGGGTTTAATTTCCAGTAAACACTCCCCCCAATAAAAAAAAAGAAAAAAGAAATGTGTTCCTTTTCAACAATTTACCCAACATTAAAATTTAAATAACTTGAAATCTGACACCATTCTCCCCAGATAATTATTTGGGGGGAACCTCTTTCCTGTAATCTCTGTATGCTTATATTGTCTTAAATATCACATAAACCGGACCTGTCTAAACATAGAGTCTTGTAATTATTTTTCCCTTTGAGAATAAGTTGTGAATAGCTTTTCATATTAATAGATCTTCATCATTTTAAATGGCTGCCAAGTAATGCATTGTATGTATACATATATCACCATTTAATGAGCCTATTGACGAATATTTGCGTTTTTCCCCATAATCAACAACCTAATAAAAACTTGTCTTTTCTAAATTATTCCATTATCTTTTTTTTTTTTTAAAGAGAGAGTGAGAGAGGGAGAGAGAGAAAGAGAGAGAGAGAATTTTAATATTTATTTTTTAGTTATCGGCGGACACAACATCTTTGTTTGTATGTGGTGCTGAGAATCGAACCCAGGCCGCATGCATGCCAGGCGAGCGCGCTACCGCTTGAGCCACATCCCCAGCCCATATTCCATTATCTTTTCAAGGTAAATTCTTAAAAGTAATGGAGCTGTAAATGTAATTAAATGTCCTTTTACATTTGAATTCAAGTTGTGGAATCGTCCTCGAATTTGCAAATACCAGTGAGGAAGCTAGCTGCCTCTTTAGTTCTGGCGTGAGACAGGGGCAACCGAGAAGGAGAGTACAGAATCACAGGTGATCTAGCCCATCTAGGCCTATGCTCGGTGGGTCAGCATATTCCTTCCCTTTTTTCTCTCTTTCACTTCTTTTTCTTAACATGGAGGAAGAATCGAGAACTGCACCTCCTAGTCTTTGCAGGGACCATACTCCCTGGGAACTGTAGTACCGGGTCTGAGAAAGGTACGGAAAGAGGAGAGTGGGAGGCTGTGTGGCACGCCGGGAGATGTAGTCCAGCGGGAGGCAACCCGTGTCTGTGTAGATTGGAGACTTTGCGAGCTACGCCACCTGGGGATCGGGGTGCAGAACCGCCGACTTTCCCGACATGTGGTCTTCAAGGCTACAAAAGGCGCCAGTGTACAGACAGCTCATTCCATTGTCCGTGGTGGGAGAGGGCACGGAACCCTCAGCGCGGCCGCGCGGCGGGGAAGCAAAGGCCTTGTGCGGGCTGGAACAGGGCATGCCGGGAGTTGTGGTCCCGGCGCACTGAGTCCGTGGGACGTGTCGCGACGCCGCGGCGGCTCCTCCTCCCCCGCCCTTCTCAGCGGTCCCCCGCCCCCTCCCTCCGCCTCCTCCTCTCTCGCCTGCAGCCGATCGTCCCCTCCCCCCACCCGTCGGGCTCCTCCGCGGCTACTGCAGAGGATTCAGAGCCCAGTAGCTGAGGAGGAGGCTCCCGTCCCTGCGCGCCATCCGCCACCTTACTGGACACGGGCGAGGGAGCGAGAGCGTTGCCGCTGTAGCCTCCGGAGAAGACAAGGGCATCGCCTCCTGTCGCCTCCGCAGCCGTTTTCGCCTGCAGAGGCTAGCCGGTGAGGAGACCCCCACCCCCCCGGCCCGCTGGCCCGCTGGTCTGGAGCCTGGGCTGGCGGCGCTGGGGAGAATGAGAGTGGGGGCTGCGGAGCCCCCTCGCGGCTTGGGGGAGGGGGCTGAGGTCGCGATGGAACGGCGGGCAGGCGGGGGAGACTTGTCCGAGCGCGGGCTGGGGGTGGGGTGAGGGTGGGACCCAAGCAGGTTGGAGGGGGGAAGAAGGAGGTGGGCTTTTAATGGGGGAATAGTCGGACCTGGGACAGGAGCCTGTGTGTGTGTGTGTGTGTGTGTGTGTGTGTTGGGGGGGGATGGTGTCGGGAAAGATTTGGGATGGTCTTGGGGCGAGATAGGAGACTGAAGTGGGATGGTTTTTATAATGGGGGAGGGGACTGAATGAGGGTGGTGATTTGGGGTTGGCCTGGAGCAGTTGACAGCTTGGGATCTGAGCCCGGGTGGGAGATAGGTGGATGATTTCTATACAGAGTGGGATGTAAACCGTTGAATAGGGCCCTGGGGAGTGTTTTAATTCAGGAAGGTGGAATTTGGGGTGGGACTGGAGTAAGCTTGATGGAGGTGGTAGGGTGGTAGGAGCTGGGGGTGAGGGACTTGGCATGGGTTGAGACCTGAGCTTAAAGTGGGCGTTTGTCACCTGGGGATGGTGGAATTTGCAGAGACTTATGGAATTAGCATGGTTAAGATAGAGCAGAGGGGGTGGAATTTGAGATTTTCCTGGGATGGTTGATGAAGGTTGGAATAGGTGCTGGTAGGGGTGAGACTTTCAATGGGGGATGGAGTGTTATGGTGACCTGGAAGGAGGGGGATAAATTGGAAGTTAGGCCCAAAATGGGAGGACAAGGATTGAAATTGGGGGTGGGGACAGTGGAATAGGATTTAGGGTGATCTTGGACTCACTGGAGGGGGCATGGTGGCTCTCTGTGTAGGGAGAAGGCAGAGGGCACATGCGACTGCTAGACTGGATTCACTGAAAGAATAGTGGCAGGTGGTGAGCAAGGTTGGGGGATGGTATCTTAAAGAAAATGTCCCTTAGCCAAGGTGGCAGAGGGAGTTTTGGAGAAGGAATGTCTGTGATGAGCTGGAGAGGTGTTTGTGGATGGTGAGGTGGTAGAGAGGAAATTTAAGATGTGAGAGACCTGGGGTTGTTGGTATGGATGGGATAGAGAGGATGGAGAGGTGTGCAATACTGGGAAGGAGTGGGTTGGATTTTTCTGGAGAGGAAGGATTGGGATGTCCTCCAAGAGACACCAGAGGTTTAGGGGTTAGAACACTTAAAGGGACAGTTTTGGTTGCTGCGTTTTGAGGGGAGGCAGTAATTGGAAGATTGTTAAAGGGGACTTTGTAGGGAACAGAGAAGGTACATTAAAGACTCTTCTAAAGGACATTTTAAGCTTTAGTTTGATCTTTTTGTTTGTTTTATTTGTATTAGTATCTTTTGGAAGTCAGCCAAAAAGGTAAAGTTAAGGAGGGGAGGATGTCTTTTATTATTCGAGTATCATAAAGAGAAGTTGGGGGGCACTTTGAAACTAAAGGTGGGAGGAGATGTGAGGAGGTTGTGATAGGTATCTTTCTGTATGAGGGCTCTGTCTTCTCCTTTCCCTCCTCCTCCTGGTGCATTAAAACTAGTACTGGAATTTAAATAGATTTGATGAGCTTGAGGTTAAGGGTGCATTCCTTGCTTGAGAACTAATGAATGAGACTAAAAAATATAAAGCTGAATTTATTTTCTAAGCAGTCAACGTGCATGTATGCAGAAAACGCTTTTTTCTTTTTTTTCTTTCCTCTTAAAATTGATTGCTTGAAGACTCCATTTATTGGTGTCCTGGTTTGCAAGGCAATTAGGCCCATCATTGTATTGCAGGCTAATAATCCTGAGATGAGTCTTGGCATCACTGCTTTATGTAAACAGAAGACAGGAAATATGGAAATGTCATAAATATTCATTGGTGAGATAGATGGTTTGGTACTGATGGAGTTTTTCATTTGATTCTCTTTTGACATTGCTTGATAAGACTTAAAATAATTGGACTATTTCTATAGATTGAATTTTCTTCTAAAGGAATTCAGGTGATCAGAATTCTATCAGATGTTGATAAATGAAGTATAGAGAATCATTTTTATTTTTTAGGGGATGATGGTGATGTATGCATTGTATTAACTACAGAAACAACATCTCCATCTATTCATCAGAAATTTGACTTAAAGAGATATGCTTATTCTCATGGCAGAACGCTGACAATGGAAAGTAGAGTGTGAAAGGAGGGAACATCTTTAGGGAAACTGTTTTCTGGACTTAATTGCATTAACTATAATATGTTAAACATGAAGTAGATGTTGATTAGAGCTCAGACTAAGGAAAAATGAATTGTAAAGAGGATAAAATTGGCACCAATGGGATCAAAATAATTCTTTTTATTTTTGTTAAAGCCTCAGAGTTCAGCTTGAAAGCAAACCACTTTTCTTGGCTTTCAGTTGAGCACACAAAAATACCAATTGGAATCTTTTTTTTTTTTTTTTTTGGTAGTTTTCAAAATGGGCAGAATGATGGAAGGTTGCACTCACCCTTGGAATTGAAAGTGTTTTTTTTTTTTTTTTTATGAGAAAGCTTTCTGTATTACAATAAAAATCAGGTTTGAGCAGTTACCTGTAATACTATGAGAATGTAATCTAACTAATGCAAACATTTCTCCTCATAACTTTACTATGGGGTCCAGACCTTGCTTTTGTGCATCTGCAGGCAATGTCTAGAGGTGGGATGTTTCTCTGAAAGTCCTGGCTTTTGAAAGCTCAAAATGAAAAGTAATCACCTGAGAGAAATGTGTTGGTGGATTTTTCCCCCCTACAGCTACAGTCATCTGTATAGTATTAATGTGAATAAAGTGTTTGAGCATCTTTACTTCATTTGACCCTCCAGACACTCTGGTGAAAAGGGGAGAGCAGGTGAAGGTATTGGTAGAAGCCTTGGTAGAATGAAGAGCTCATGAATTTAGGAGTCAAACTGGCTTCAAATCCACCACTTAAAAGCAGAGACTTCAGTAAAGTCATTAGAAACCTTTCATATTTAGTAGTAATGGTTGCTCAGCATTGTGAATGTACTCAGTGCCCCAAATTATACACTTAAATATGGTAAAACAAAACAAACAAAAAATGCTTTGTATTTCCCAAAGGTATCAAGAGGAATAAATCAGTTCATGTCCTGAAATTATGTCTTGAAAACACTGCACATATATGAAATATCTGTTTACTATTTATTTATTGGAYGCCTGCTAAGTTCCAGGGGAAATGAAGATGAACAAAAAGCAGTTGTCAAGGAGCTTTAAGTGTCATGGGAGAGAGAATTTAATGTGAAAAAAAGTGAGGCAAAATGAGTGCAGTGACTGAGTGGGTTCTGAAGTCTGTCCATCACTATTACTGTATGACCTTGGGCACATTGAACTCATCTTTAAAGTGGGCATAATAGAACTAATCTCATAAGGTTGCTTGAGGATTAGAGAAAATAATCCAAGAAAGCATTTAACATAGAGTGTTGCGTAATGTACACTAAAACAGTGTAAATTCCCATTATTAAAAAGCTAGGCAATGGCTAGAATGATGAATTGTGTTCTGTGCCCTACCAATGAGTTCTTAGTATTATGGTATTTTATTATTTATTAAAGAGGCATTATTTTGTATTATTATGATATAACAATTTATCTGCAGTTTGCATGTTTGTGCTACCTATTTGCATATTTGTAGTCTAGGAACTTTATTTTATTTTATTTTTTTTAAGAATGTTTTTTCTCACTCTTCAGCTTTTTTTTTTAAGAGAGAGAGAAAGAGAGAGAATTTTTTAATATTTATTTATTTATTTATTTATTTTAGTTATTGGCGGACACAACATCTTTGTATGTGGTGCTGAGRATCGAACCCGGGCTGCACGCATGCCAGGCGAGTGCGCTACCGCTTGAGCCACATCCCCAGCCCAGTCTAGGAACTTTAAATAGTTCTTTTTTTTTGAAAAAAAAATTTTTAAGTTATAGATAAACATACAATATCTTTACTTATTTTTATGTGGTGCTGAGGATCGAACCCACTGCTTCACACATGTGAGGCCGGCGCTCTACCACTGAGCTACAGTCCTAGCCCCTTTAAATAGTTCTTTAAATGCCAAGGAAAGTACTAAACAGATGTGAGTTGTTGATTTCCTCTTCTATAAAATAAGAAAGACTGTCAGGGATTAAATGATTTGCTTAAAATTATACAGCCAGTAAGAGAAAGAGTTTGGATTACAGTTCATTCTTCTTCACATGTTTCTTTTAGGTGATTTTTTTTTTTCTTGTATGTGGTGCTGGGGATTGAACCTAGGGCTGTGTGCATGCAAGGCAAGCACTCTACCAACTGAGCTATTTCCCCTGCCCACATCTTCCTTTTACATTGTGAAATAATTCATATGTATAAGAGTATATATAATACAAATCCAAAATTTAAACAATAATAACAGTTGAAGATGTGTACTATTACCCAGCCTAACAAAAAAGGAGTTTGTAGTATTTTTAAAGCTTCTTGGGAAGTGCTGCTCAATTGAATCTTCCTCCTTTCCTCTCCCTCAGGGGTAACCACTTTCCTGAATTTGATATGAATCATTCCCTTACTATACCAAATATGTGCATATCTCTAAATATCTAAACAATATATATATTTTTTTCCATATAAAGAAAACTTTTTTTTTTTTTTGTAGATGGATCCAATACCTTTATTTTATTTATTTTCATGTGATGCCGAGGATTTAACCTAGTGCCTCACACCTATAAGGCAAGGGCTCTACTGCTGAACTAAAACACCAGCCCTACACATTTTTTACTGATACATTACAGTTGTACATAGTGATGGGATTTGTTGTTACATATTTGTACATCYATACAATATAACAATAAAATTTGGCCAGTATCACTACCCAGCATTCCCCCCTTCAACCCTTTGTAAACAATATAGTTTTCACTTGCAACTT